GAAGTCGTAGTATATATCGTCACAAATAGAACTGCCCGGTAAACCGTAGGCAGAGAGGGAGAAGAGGACAACATATATATATATATATATATATATATATATATATGTCTGCGAATGACATTGTGTATGTGTGTAATACTGTGTATGTGTGTAATACTGTGTATGAATTTGCTGTTGAATATCATGCAGGGATTTACAGCCAAGAGCAAGCAATGCAAATGAACAGCACTGGGACTCTGTCTGGTCTAAAGAATCAGCTTAGTATCTTAGCCAGACTGTGGCAGTCAGATACAGTGATAAGTCCAAGGAAGTTTGATGAAATGACAGAAGAGAATGTACTATGCAATATATAATAATAATAAAAAAAGTTATGTACTATGTAATATATAATATTTTTTTTAAAAGTATGTACTACTACTATGTAAATAATAATTTAATAAAATAATGACTTCTAGTACTTCTACAACTCCTGCTGAGGCTAATATTTCCAATTTAGGAAGTCAAACCCACCAGTGATAATTGTTACCCCCTACACCTCCTGCTGAGGGTAATAATTAAATAATTACAATCTAGAAAGTCACACCCATCCAGTTATAATTATTACCCGCTGCTGCTGTCTATGTTCACCACAGTCCCCTCTTCTCTTCTCTTCTCTTCTCTTCTCTTCTCTCTTCTCTTCTCTTCTCTTCTCTTCTCTTCTCCTCTCTTCTCTTCTCCTCTCTTCTCTTCTCCTCTCCTCTCCTCTCCTCTTTTCTCCTCTCCTCTCTTCTCCTCTTCTCTCCTCTCCTCTCCTCTCCTCTCCTCTCCTCTTCTCCTCTCTTCTCCTCTCTTCTCCTCTCCTCTCCTCTCCTCTCCTCTCCTCTCCTCTCCTCTCCTCTTCTCTGCTCTTCTCTGCTCTTCTCCTCTCTTCTCCTCTCTTCTCTTCTCCTCTCTTCTCCTCTCTTCTCCTCTCCTCTCCTCTCCTCTCTTCTCCTCTCCTCTCTTCTCCTCTCCTCTCCTCTCTTCTCCTCTCCTCTCTTCTCCTCTCCTCTCTTCTCCTCTCTTCTCCCCTCTTCTCCTCTCTTCTCCCCTCTCCTCTCTTCTCCTCTCCTCTCTTCTCCTCTCTTCTCCTCTCCTCTCCTCTCCTCTCCTCTCGTCTCGTCTCGTCTCGTCTCGTCTCGTCTCTTCTCTTCTCTTCTCTTCTCTTCTCTTCTCTTCTCTTCTCTTCTCTTCTCTTCTCCTCTCCGCTCCTCTCCTCTCCTCTTCTCTTCTCTTCTCTTCTCTTCTCTTCTCTTATCCGCATGTGGACCACTTAAGCAGGGCCATGGTCCCATTAGCAAAGAGCATCCGATTGAATGTCTGAATCCGGACCTGTTTGAGGACATCGAACTCTGCTTTTCTGTATCTCTGCATAAAACATAGCCACATTCAGGATTTCTATCCTATCCCCTTCGCTAATGGGACCACTGAAGCAGGACTTACTGATTCCGGTGTTTAGGGGCCAAGTCCCACTCGCAGCGGGGTTTACTTGAGATTCCTACCGTCTTCACCCGAATAGAACACACAGTAATTATCGCCGTACCTGGACTGCAAGGTGCACCATATACAGCTATAATGACCGGGCGACGGGCATTCTACTTGGGTGAAGACGGTAGTACAGTGTGACATGAGTGGCAGGCACACTATATATATTGTCAAACAGAGCGGTCCGGTGAAACCGCAGGCAGAGAAGGAGAAGAGGACAACAAACAAGGGGATGTGACAAACTGTTTTATAAAATTATATATTAAAGCTACCCTATATTCTTCTTTCATTATACCTTCCACTATGTACCTACCTACCTATACTGATGACTAGGAGGAGAATCTAGATATATCTCTGGTATTCCGTGTGGGCTAGGCGTGTCTGGCATGCAAAAAAAATATTTTTTTGGTACTCGGTTACAACGCGAGTACAAAACCAGCGTTGTACTCTTATTTAGGGTCTCGCTCCACCACTGTCCGCTATACAGAATTTCGGAGAGTTCGTGTATAGCTGTCAGAGTACCAAAAAACGGAGATTTCGTGTATGGTCTGCGCCGTCGCTCCACTTACTATCCGCTATACAGCTCTCCAATTCCTGAGTTCACTACAAAACACCCTAAGAGCACTACAAGACAGCAGTTTGTCAGCCCAGACTCCAGGCGGACTATCCGATTTCGTGTTCGAACGGCGGCCTCCTTCGACCACACTTCGAGGAGTATCCGAGTAACGACTTTTGCAGGCTGGTAACCATACACAAATGTAGAGTGCGATCCACGGCCGATTTCTGACAACTATACAACGGAGTTTTCACGTGTAAAGTGTGTAGTTAGTGGAGCGACGCCGAACTATACAATTTTGTATAGTGTATAGTAGTGGAGCGAGACCCTACTTGACCCGCGAAGGTAATTTTTGCAGGTTTTTACTTGACCCGCGAAGGTAATTTTTGCAGGTTTTTAGGGCACTTAAAAAAAAAAACGAGGCGGTCGGCCCCGTTGTTTAGACGAGATTTTTTTTTTTTTTTTTTTTTTTTTTTCAATGTTCTTTGGATGTTTTTTCTGACAGGGGGTCTTTGGAGGGCATTTTGGTCTGCTTCAGCCCTTGTGTCGGGCCAGAAAGTGGGTACCGACAAAAGGGTCAAAACAGGCCAAAATGCCCTTGGCCTTTGGGCCTTTGGGCCTTGGCCCCTTGTGAGCAGTGGGGGCGGGAGAAGGGAGCTCTCATCGTACAGACTATGTGTCCGTTGTGGGCCCCACTCGTGGAACAAAAATGCCCTTTCCACCAGTCTTGTCCACTTCGAAGTCGATGTCCAGTGGGGGTGCACTCTGTTCATGCAGTGTGGAGGGCCAGATTGCATCTGTTGCCATTCATAGGAACAAATGCATCTTGCCAGTTTCTGTGGGAACATGCATTTGAACGTTTTTCGTTTCGACAGTGGCATGGCGAGGCGAGGCCGTAAAAGAAAGGGGCTAAGGGTTGCCTTTTCTTTTTCTTTTCTCTTTTTTCAGAAAGGCGCTAAGGGTTGCTTTACCTGTCACATCCGCAACAGCCCACCGAATCGCAAAAACACGTGTCGACGCTTGCTGCGACTTGGGGCATCGCTGCACTACTCTCCACATGCGCAAAAGACAAAAATCATGGCGGCGTATCTCTCCATGTTTCTAGCGAAGATTCACTCTCGTTTTGCACATTTCTAGAGTAGTGCAGCGAGGCCCTTGGCATTTTCTACTTGCTCCAGTTCCAAAAAATGAGACTTGTGACGTCTGCTCCTTTCCTTGACCGCAACCAGCCTCAGCGGGGGGGACCACTTGTCGAATCGTTGCAGACCTTCCCTCGGACTGAGCTGCGACTGATTGGAGACTCCCCCTTGGCCGATAAGTTGCGATAACCCATGACTGAACCATACTGACCCCTCCCGACTTCTACACCCTTCTACCCAGACAGTACCTAAACGGAATGACAGCGCAGTGGGAGACCGCTACGTAACGACAGCGCAGTGGGAGACCC